CATCAAGGTGTTTTCAGCGTGGTTATCTAAAGTATGTATTTGCGTTTATTTGTAGTGATACTATCTAAAATATACAACAGATTGCTTAAGTTTTCAAACCTGACATATTTTAGGGTTTTTTGGTCCAGGTTTTAGATTGACTTAACTTGATTTGTTTGGATAAAGTATCATTTGAAAAATAAAATATTTAACACTCTTTAGCAATGGTAATCAGCAAAAAAGCGGGTAGTGTGAGACCTCGTCAATCCAGACCGTACCTGTAGAAATCGTCCGGATTAACAAATGTCCGATTTATCAAAAAATATTGTATCAGTATTCATATAGGTATACATGGGCGTTCCCAACAACATTGTCCGGAATGAAGGGTTGACGGATTAGCGAGGTTTCACTGTTTGTCATTCCCTGCCCTGTTACAAGTTGTGACACGTCGTTTTGTGAATTGTGCATTTTGGTGTAACACATATACAGTTGTGTTTGTATTGGGCAGGAATCATATGAGTTGTTTTTAATTCTGCTTTAATTATGACAAACAGTAAACATAATATAAATCCACATTTATTAATTATAAATATATTTAGGAAGCACATGCTAAGCACGCTTAAATACTTTTGCACTAAGACTCGCTTGCAAACTTATTACTGCTTTGTTTCCTCTGGCCGACGGCTGGTCCAGTCGTGCAGAGTTCTGTCCCTTGGTGTGCCAGTATCCTGTGATCATGGGTTCGAAACCTTGATCTCATTGATACTGATTCTTCTTCCTCAGTATCATACCTTCTGGTGGCTACACATTCTGCTGTCAAACTGAAATACTGTTCAAACGGCTTCGAACCCAACTCACTCACTCACGACTGGTTCAGAGGCTATAGACTGTATCTCTCATTTTTAACCCTTCCCTCCCACACTAGCTATACCAGGGACTATTACGGCGGCACCTTCACCCACCTGTCGAGGTTAGTAATAATACCCGTGAAGATCCGGGTAAGAATTGGTCTTCAGAAACCCATGCTTGTCGTAAAAGGCGAGACCTGTGAAGATCCGGGTAAGAATTGGTCTTCAGTAACCCATGTTTGTCGTAAAAGACGACCAACGGGGTCGGGTGGTCAGGCTCACTGACTTGGTTGACACATGTCATCGGTTCCCAATTGCGTAGATCGATGCTCATGCTGTTGATCACTGGATTGTCTGGTCCAGACTCGATTGTTTACAAACCGCCGCCATATAGCTGGGATATTGCTGAGTGCGGCGTTAAACAACAAACCAACCAACCAAAGGTTAGTAATAAACGTCAAGCTTCTCTCACTTCAACGACCGTTAGTGCTCACAATAAGTTACTATCAACAAAGACCAGCACTTATAATGGTAGGGCTACATTCAATGATAATGCGATCTCTCCTCGAGGTATTGCCTTTCGTTCATCAAAGTCAGTCTGGTAACAAGGAAATGAGGTTTCGGTGTTCCTTCTTACCGTGTAAACATCAGATTGAGCCAGGGTACGGACTGGGACACACGCTGTATCGATCCAGTGATGGACGCTGCCGATGAAGAACCGAGTTTCAGGCAGTAACAGTACTTGCAACGTTGCAGTTTATGGAAGTGGATGTGGGTTGCGGCTTTTTGTAAGCGGCAAATTATTCATCCATCTGATTGTGAATTGAGCAGCTTATCCAACAACAGATGTTGGTGATTAGTTTCTGTGGTACAATTTGTCCGTGTTGATTTGGATCAGTACCCACCGTGGTTTTTGTTGTTGTGTTATGTTAGGAATTCTGGAGAATTCCATCTATATTCAACCCCACCCGGTCATATCCGAGTCCCGTTGATCTCAGCCGATCACACCACTCGCTACCCACCCAACCCCAATCCCCTCTCCACGTAGGGGTCTCACCCCTCCCCACAATATACCACTTCATCCCCACTCCACAACCAAATACAAGCCCCACCTCCACCCCACCCATGACCGATAATACCCATCCCATTTCCTCTCATCCCCTCCCGATTCCTATACATCTCACCCTAACCCCACCACAGCCCATGGTGGGCGATGGTGTAACCAAGTGGTTAAAGCGTTCGCTCGTCATGCTGAAGATTGGCTTCGATCCCCACATGGGTACAATGTGTGAAGCCCATTTCTGGTGTCCACCGCCGTGATATTGCCGGAATATTGCTAAAAACGGCGTAAAACGTACTCACTCACTTACTCACCACAGTCCATCGTCACAGCTTGACACACCACCCCGACCCCCTCCTCATTCGACGCGTACCCACCCCACACAATCCAAATCAACTCCCACCCAATTCTTTCTTTATCCCATGAGTTTCAATTATGCCGGTTCTACATTTCAAAATGAATGTTGGTTTTGGCGCTGGTCACAAAAGCATTCTGTACCTATTCCCCAGACGTGAAGGAATAACACGTGTCTTACACTAATTAAACAAACATCTTCAAATGGCATACGTGTCAGAAAAGTAAACTTTCAGCTGCCAATAGCTTCATCGTTGGTATACTTGACATTTCATTTGAAATGAAAGATAGCATTTACAGTATCTCTTCACACATCACACAATAACATCGAGTCTTCACATCTCAAACGCAGCATACTCACATTAAAATCAGATAATTTTATCCCGATGTGAATCCTCTATGCTAAAGCTCTGTTGACTCATCCACAGAATTTTGCCCCATCGAAATTAGAAGTGCGTCTGTACTTGAACCATTCATACATCAGCTTTCGAGAAAGCCTCATTTCTTTGACACATGAAATCCCCGATTATATGATCGAGATCAGGTTTTTCTTTAATTTTTGCTTCTTTTAGTGGTACCACTCTCTCACCGTTTTTGACAATCTCTATTCGGAAAAGAACCCACACAGAAACATATAAACCCCAATATTACATTCTTTTGGGTGTTCATGCCATGGTGCTATGAAACTTCGAGATGCGTAAATATCCCCAATTACAATACCCCTGCTATATTTATTTGCTTTCGGAACTCCCCGATTATGTTCGTTTTCAAGATTTTACCGAAATATACTCATGCCAATAATGGTTGTCACCCCCTTCTATTTTTTTAATTGGAGATGGGGTGTGGGTAGGGGGTGTGAGGTGTGTGGTGGGTTTGGGTGGGGAGGAGATGACAACCATTATTGGCATGAGTATATATATAACTGAAATATTGCCAAAACGGGTTTTAAACTAATTCCACCATAAACACTTCTGATGGCCAATGAGAGGTTTCAAATCACTATTATCACCTCAAATTAAACTATTCTATGCTATTGGTAGATTTCACTGCGCTAAATGTGTCATTTGAAACCTCAGGCTGAGCAAATCGAATTCTACCTTTCACACTTAAATCTCCAGACGTAACCTAGGGCTGCAGTGAAAAACACAGTGAAGTCTATCTCCCAACATGTTTGTAGTAAAAGATGGCCTTGATTAATACAACGACGTATATAAATCCCCAGAGAGAGAGAGAGAGAGAGAGAGAGAGAGAGAGAGAGAGAGAGAGAGAGAGAGAGAGAGAGAGAGAGAGAGAGAGAGAGAGAGAGAGAGAGAGAGAGACCCTGGATCCGCCAATGAGATCCCTGCTCCTAGCCAGCCCAAACCACTGTGACTCCCAACTAGCCCAGAACTGCAAGATTATATTCAGCAATGTCCTTGAAAGGATCGATGGAATAGCGCGTTATCGATGCAATATCTTGTCTAGCTACTTGGCTACCGGCTGAACCTACATCTTGAAGATAAGTCACTTTTATGGGACATATATTCAGTCCGGTGCTTTTACTATATCAGAAGGTCAGATGATACCTACTTTAGATGCAGGATATTGTAGAAGTAGTGGGTGAGAAATGCTGTAGACATGATAGCTACGATATAGTTGAAAAACAGTTTAGTCTGGATTAGTCTTCCCCATTGTAGATACAAGGAACGTCCTAACATGTGCTTAGCTTTACCCGGCACACACTGCACGCTGTGACGTCACAGTAGAGTATGTCACGTGATAGCTGTAGTAAATTTGTCAAACGTTTCGGGGTGGTTGTAAAGTTCAGCATTTTGCGTGTATTCTTCTTTGCGTGTTTGTGACGTAATGCCGATCTCATTAAAATTAGATCTTAGTTCTTGTTACCGCTAAATAAACATCAGAGGACATCAGGTCATCTCACAACGACCTTAAACCGACCAATCAGAACGTTGATAACAAGATCAGGGATGTGACAGTCGGAATGTGTTTTCTAATCATGCAACCTCGAAAAACTTAACACGGGGTTTTCCGAACGACAGCTATAGGCTTTTCGGCTGAATCTGCCATTCAATGTATATACTTTATGCTTTAACTGGATGAACATTTGAACAATTTTTTAGACTTTACGGTACTACTGCTGTATATTCTAAGCAATCTATTAGACATTCAAGAGTAATTTATTGTTCAATTTTCAAATTGCTTTTTCAAAGCGTAGTCGTCAGTTTAAAGCTTTAGAAAGCTGCTTTCTGATTGGTCAATGTCGCACTCTTGTCACTCATTGGACGGTCAAATTTGGCGAAGGGTCGTTTTGACGTAACCAGTAAAGGGATGTCCGAAGATCTTTGTTTGCGTTAGCGGGAACTAAGATATGATTTTAATGAGATGACGTAGTGTAATAAGTTGTTTTTTGAGAGATTTATGTCCGTTTTTATCAGAAAAAACGAGCGTGTTCGCTTAAAAAGTAGACCTTCTCAACATCACGATATTTAAGAGAAAAAACACTTAGCGTTTGTGGTGACGTTTAGTTTGAAGTGAAGCTTTTGGTCGCCGCAAATAGCTGCAAGATAGTTGCTGCGGCATTAAGCAATATTCACTCGGTCATGCTCGCTCATTCTGGGCAGTCGCAATTGACTAGTTCAAACGAGAACAGTAACATCGTCTTAAACCAGGTTGTAATTCATACATTTCAAGAGAATTCGAGTACGCTGCGATTTTAAGGTTGGATATCTGAATTAATGATACTGTTTGGTTGTTTTCAGGGACGATATGAACGAATTACTCCTGATAGAAGTTGCATCGAAATGAAGCAACTCTATCGCCAGAACAGCTCGACGAGCACAGACACCTTCACGAGCTGTGTCACCCACCCACAAAACAGCCCCTCTATAACGGGCCCACCTTCCGCAGACACGCCAAAACACAACCTCTATGTTAACCCTTTAGAGTACACGGGGGGATATACCAATCCCAATGTCCCCCCGGAATCTCATGCCTACCAGAATCTTTTCAATGACCTCCAGAGCGACACGCAACAGGAGACGGGATTCAACAGACCGGAAGTCCAGTTCGCTCCTTCAAACCAGGTTGTGCAGCAGTTGGAGACGGGTTTGTCCACGACGTGGGAGTGTGCCTCCGCTCAGGGCTCCCCCGTTCAGTCCTCGTCACAACCACACTCACCATCTAAGGGACTTCTTCAAGCTAAGGTTCCGCACCCTCAGAAATCTAGCTTTAAAAGACATAAATCGCTTTCTGTCGAGAAACATCCCCGCTTCTCAGAAGTGAAGGAGAGAAGTTACTGCTCCACTGACAATCTTCATTCCCAGGAATATACGAAGCCAAAGTTGAAATTCAGGAAGGCCGTGTCTCTCGCCAGTCGCCTTCACGCCAGCCCTGCTACGGGAAGGAAGTTGGCCAATTACCATCTCATAGCCAGCACGAAATCAGGTGGGTCATCCAGAGAGTGTGGATGTGTCTCCTCAGACATGCTGTTTACCTGTAAACTGTCTTGCAAACAAGTCCCAAACAAAACATCATCAGCAGGGTGTACCTTGATCTTAATTGAGGGGATATTTCGTGACAAAGATCGTTTGTAATCTTACAAAGTAGTTGTTTCCAAACAATATTAGAAGATGTTTCCTTTGAAAAACTGTCAAGATGGGTGTCCTGATACATATAAGTGTTGCAAACATTTTCATGGAAAGAATATGTCTTTAAGTATTGCCATATAGATATTGAATGAATGCAGACACCATAGACGAATATTCTACAATAAGGGTTAGCAGGTAAGAAACATTTTAAAAAGGTCTGCGGCTGTTGCTTGTGAAATGTAGCAAAGCGCACTCTAAAGGTCAAGGGCGACAATTCTGAAACGTCAAACCCAGTTCGAGGCAAATATGACGTCGTAATAGTCTAAGGGGACAACTCTTACCCAGTTATGTTAACATCATATTTTGGTGTGTGGATAAATAAGTATCTGGAACACGAAAGTACTGCACAACAGACATTTATTTACGACGGTATTGTGAGGAAAGTTCATCTGATATGAAAGGGTTGGAGACATTTTTGGGGGAAGCGTTTAAGCAAACATATCGAGCCAATTTACGCTATCTGTTGTTAGTTCTTTTACCCATACTTATGCAAATAATGACTCTTTTCTAATGACCTAGTCGTGTGGGTTCCTGGTAAGGGTTAGTACCAAGCAGGGGCGGTGTGGTAGCCTAGTGGTTGAAGCGTTCGCTCGTAACGACGAAGACCCGGGTTCGAATCCCCACATGGGTACAATGTGTGAAGCCCATTTCTGGTGTCCCCCGCCGTGATGTTGCTGGAATATTGCTAAAAGCGGCGTAAAACCACACTCAGTCAGTCAGTAGTACTAAGCAAACTTGGCTTGACCCAGTATTTGTTTGTTTTCTTGTTTATCGCCCCTGGGCTAAATTTCACACTATATTCCGTCGGTCTGTTAATAATCAAAATCTGGACCACACAATCCAGTGATTGAGATCGATCTGAGTAGTTCACGTATGATGACATGCGTCAACCAAGACAGCCAGTTCTAACCCGGATCTTCACGGTTAAGCTTGTCCTCAGAGGACGCTGAATGGATCCGGTAACTTAGTATATTTTGTGTCATCGAGCCTCGATATCTTTGAATATTGCCAGCATATTACCCATCAATATGTTTGTGTGTAGGTTCGATTTTCCGACCAGTGATTGATTTGTGATTAGCGTTACGCAATTTTCGTTATATGCCGACGTGGCCGTTTCAGTAGGGTAGGCCCAAGATGTTCACCATTTCGTTGAAACCCACCACCAGGGAGAATCTGGGATTCGAACTCAAAATGATAGGATCACACATGGACATGATCGGTGGTTATTAATGAGTTACCTCCCCTTTCGTGTTTAGGCCGGAAGTAGAATCAAACAATAGGCCTACTTGTAATTTTGCTATTATTTTGGAGACAAAAAATATTCATGGGACATACGTGTGTGTGAAATTCTCAGGACGTTTAATTTTGAAGCTGCAGGTAAGGGTCAACACATTAACCAATAGATTAGGTAGCTCTTAGAAAAAATTCCCAAATGTTTCATATAATTTATATTTTATTGCACTGTATGAGACCCACCCCATATTCATTCAAAAGTATTTTAACTTCATGATAGAATTCGTTGTGACGATTTACTTTCTTAATGTGATTCCAGTTTTCAATGGAATGCGATATGTTGTATTTTTCACAATTTATTTTCAAAATAGCACATTCAAGAATGAGTTTAGCATGCTACCTATTTTAACTGACTATACGACAGTTTTTTGTTTAATCAATAACGTTTGTAATGATTTGGTTAAACCTAGATGTCATGTTTTATTAAAATATGTCTATTTTGATTGACATGCACTGTAGTTAATTGGAGTAGTCAAAATTAGGCATCAATGGGCTGCTGAAGAGATAGAAAATACGGTAGGTCTTAAGTCTTATTATAATTCATGACAGTATAAACATGTTCTGTTTACTTGCATGTAATCGTGGATTTTATTACATATGTTACATTGTACGTTTTTTTAAGTTCCAATACCTTATTTATTAGTGTTAAGAAGAAACTTTACTGACGATGGTTTGACCCCTAATTTTATTCCAGATGAAAGGTTTCTACTCAACTAAGCGAGGTGAGTCAAGTTGTACCGCAAGAGGGCGCTTTATGCATTATGACACGTGCACTGGTGTGGCAATACATGAGAAGGGGAATTCCATGTTATTGACAACTAAAAGGGGATGTTAAATTCTGACTCTAATTTGCATATTTGGCAAATATACTAAACGCCGAAATTCTTATTTCCAAGCGGTGGAATATTAAATTGAAATTAATTTGTAAAATTCAGGGGATGAAATTACACCTTTGATAATGTGTAGGCTCTGGCTTGACGTACCCCCCTGTGTTCGCTCCCGGCCATCCATATTGTGTTGGTCAGTTGGTCAGTCATTGTTGTCTCCCCTAGAATGATGATTACTGTCCGCGGTCAGCTGGCTTCCTGAGTCCAGCTGTCCGTGTCTCTGCTTGTGTGTGGTCACACCAGTTCGTGCGTCCGTCCATCCCCCTCGTATATCCATCCGCTGACCTCGACGTTGACCCCCACCCTTCACAATGCAGTGACGTTGCTTCACCCATCGAGCACGTGCTATCTCCCGCCGTCCCATTCAACAAACGCTTACAGTATTTTTGTGTATTCCCAGTAGTGCTTTCGTTTGGTCTCCGAAGTCGCAAATAGTCGAATCGAATTCGTCACTGGAGGTCAAACAAATGCACCAGTGTAGCCAATATACTCTCCTATATTAAGGCATGGTGTCGCCTTGACGTGTTTAAATACCCAACGCAAAACCACGCCAATGCTTATATACCTGTTTAGGCCATAACCAGTTATCTCCCTTCCCCACGCGCACCACTCGTCGTGAAGTGACGTCACGGTAGATGTCTGCTCAGCATGCTTGTAAAGTCGGCTTGTGTTCCTTCCTTTCAGGCTGCGAGCCGACGGGCCGTCGTCTTAACTCAGAAAAACTGTCCCCGAAGCAGCGCTCTAGCCCCTCCCTATTGGAGCCGCCGGCTACAAAAAGGAAATCTATTTTAAAGCGGGATGCTGGAAACCCAGAGGACACGCAGCACTTACTGCTTGCTGCGTGTAGAGACGGAGAGTGTACGGGGCGGTTCACAAACTCTACCCAAAACAGCAATTTATTTGAAAACAATATTTTATCTTGTCACAAACCTCATATCGAGATTGATATTACTCCGGAGCCCCCTCCCTATAATAGCACGAGCTCTACTCCCGGGATGCGTCACATTGACAGCACGGACGAGGAGAGCCAACGTCTGACACCGGATAGCCCCGAGCGGTCAGAAGAGGACGTTGAGTTCAGCGACAGTGTTGCTGGCCCACACAACAACGCGTTCTGGAAGCAGCTGCGTTGCCCAAGCCAAGGCTCGTCCCCTCTCAACGACACCAGTCCCTCTGACAATCTGGATGAAAGTTACATTGGGTCAAATTCTGCTGATTATTCGTTATCTGACTCCAGTCTATCCGACCCCAACCTTCTGAAGTCGTCCCCCTCCAGCGACGTGGTCAGTCGGACGGCCGGCAGCCAAATGAGCGGCGAGGAACACACCGCCAGCATTTACGACACCGCCGACTCTGGCCCAACTGACAGCGATACCAATATGGAAAACGTTGTCAACAGTTTGCAGTCGGACGTCAGTCAGGACACGCGGGAAAACATTCTCTTCCCAGATTCCAGTGGCTAGTGGGGCCACCTGCTCACAAGGTATGTCATGGTATGTCGGGTTGTCATGGTTACCAGAGCTGGGCTTCTCTGTTTGCAGTGTATGTCAGAGTGTGGTCTCACATGCAAGTCAAACCGATAACCACATGCTTTCAATGTATGTCTGATGAGTTACATATCTCGTGCTTCAGTGGTACGTCATGACTTAAATATTCTATAGTCTACACCCCCTGTTTCCATGGTACGTCATGACTTAAATATTCTATAGTCTACACTACCTGTTTCCATGGTACGTCATGATATAAATATTTGGAAGACTACATCACCTGCTACCATGGTACGCCATGCCTTAGATATTCGATACACTACATCCTCTGTTTCCATGGTACGTCATGAATTTGATATTCGATAGACTGCATCACCTGCTTCCATGGTACGTCATGACTTAAATATCCGATAGACTACATCACATGTTTCCATGGTACGTCATGACTTAAATGATCAGAAGATTAAATGATCAGCTTTCATAGTACGCCATTACTTACAAATCTACTCAACTAAACCAAGGGCTTTCAAAGTACCGACTTCAATATCTGATTACGTAAACCACACAATTTCGCGGAATGTCAAAACTTCCACAGCTACCCAACTAAACCACGTATATATATAGCTAAACCACAGAATTTTTATGGTACGTCATTACTTGCACTTCTGCACAAGTAAACAACGCTCTTTCAATGTACCGACTTACATATCCGAATACGTAGAACACACTCATGGTAGGCCATGACTTGCAAGTCCAATCGACTTAACAACGTGCTTTCAATGTACGTCAAGGCTTACATATCACTGACCCTGTATAAACCCGCTTTCATGGTATGTCATGCCTTATGTATTCAATCGACTGAACATTGACCTTTCAATGTACGTCATGACTTACTTATTAGACAGTATGAATGGCAACATACTCCCATGTTTACATATCCACGATGCTAGGCCACACGTTTTTGACGTACGCTTTGGAATATCATCAGTAACTCAATGCTTTATCATACGCCTTCGAAGGCGTCGTGCTACATACGAAGGGCTGGGTTATAAATAGCCTTCAGTAACCCATGCTCGTCGTAAGAAGCAACTAACGGGATCGGGTGGTCAGGCTCGCTGACTTGGTAGTCATGTCATCGTATCCCAATACGTAGATCGATGCTCATGATGTTGATCACTGGAATGCCTGGTCCAAACTCGGTTATTTACAGACCACCGCCATATAGCTGGGATATTGCTGAATGCGGCGTTAAACAAATAAAATACCAAAACGAACGCTTTGTGGATTGGGTGACTTGTGTCAAAAGACGTCGTAATGTAGTCAGTTGTAGATCCGGTATTTGGATTTCCCACATGTTATGCCGTGTAGTTTGATGCTTGGGTAACACAAACATGTAACGATACCGAGCCCAGTACATAGCTCGCAGCTCGGTCTCTTAATTACAAGGGGCGGTGGGGTAGCCTAGTGGTTAAAGCGTTCGCTCGCACTCGAAGGCCCGGGTTCGATTCCCCACATGGGTACAATGTGTGAAGTCCATTTCTGGTGTCCCCCGTCGTGGTATTGCTGGAATATTGCTAAAGGCGGCGTAAAACTAAACCTACTCACTCACTCTGGATTACAAGAGATGATGCAACCGTCGTCCCTATGTTCATTTAGGCGCCAAATAACCACTTGAGGCATACACGGTCTTTGTCCAAAGCCAGTATGTCACTTGTGAACTAAAAGCGTCGAGTTTTTCAACTTCCAAGAGTACAGGACATATACATGAGCACTTATATTCCCACGTGTACACTGTTACTTGCCATGTGCGTGTGTGTGCGTGCGTGCGTGCGTGCGTGTGTGTGTGTGTTAAACCACTGGTTGTGTGTTTCTGGTTACGCCATTAATTGCTGTTCTTCGTATCTTTAGTTTACAATATCAAGTTAGCGTGACATAGTTCCTAAATCACATTGCCAGGAACTCTTTTGGCGTTTTGTGGCATTTGATCGTGTTTGAAACCTTACATACCTAGGCGACGTCATGTCTGACAATTGTAGCGCAACCATCACGCTATGGATCAAGAATCACATGCCTAAATCTGTATGATTATCTGTGAGGCACGCGTCTTTGGAATTACGCGTCAAGGGTCTACTTAAATTTCGGAATTTATATTTGGTATGTGATATGAACTGTGTGTGACAACCACATTGCCCACCCTGTTGAGCAATTTGATGTAGAACATGAAACGGTTTGGTACATTTCTCGGCACCCAAATGACGTTGGGCATCCTTTACAAATCCTGTAATTGCTTGAAATCTGCAGGGCAGTCGCCATGTTGTTTCGTTACGTGATTTTTGTTTGGACTAAACAAAGACCCGTTGGCCCATGCGAAATATAACTTAGAAATCCGTAATCTGTTGGGCAAATTTCTTGCTCTAAATCTCTAGCCATCTTGTTCATGCCAAACCCAGCGCTGGCGCTGATTTGTAACTCGTATTCTGATTGGTTCGTTGGACCGAGAATCTCAGCCAATCAAATCGACAGATGGAAATCCAGGGTGGGTAATTTGGGATTACAAGAACCATTTGAGAAAGATCCAGTAGGTAGTTTAGGTCTTGGAGATGTAGTGAGTGAGTGAGTTTAGTTTTTACGCCACTTTTAGCAATATTCCAGTAATCACGGCAGGGAACGCCAGAAATGGGCTATGGAATCAAACCCGGGCCTTTCTGCGTGACAAGCGAACGCTTTAACCACCAGGCTACCCCACCGCCCCTTGGAGATGTAGAGAATGGGTGAGAGTAATACTCGAATTTTATAGTGAGCTCCTTTGTCTCAGGAAGATAATCACTGCCTCACCACCAGGGCCTAGAATGATGTTTGAAGAATTTATGCTAAGCCAGACTATACAGGGGAATGGAGAATTTGCAGCTTCATCACTTATAAAGGGGCGGTGGGGTAGCCTAGTGGTTGAAACGTTCCCCTTTTACGCTGAAGAATCGGGTTCGATTCCCGACATGGGTACAATGTGTGAAGCCCATTTCTGGTGTCTCCCCGCCGTGATATTGCTGGAATATTGCTAAAAGCGGCGTAAAACCATACTCACTCACTCACTCACTCATCACCTATATATATACCAGCAAGTCTTGATTTATCAGCCTCTAGTCCCCGCTTCACAAAGCTGTCCTAACGTTACGGCTGTCAAGATCAAGATCAAGATTGTTTATTGTACATAAGGCCTCCGGCCCGTATACAGAGTGTTATAATGACAGGCAAAGTATGGACATTGCAAACAGTGGAAAGCATCATAACATTGTGAAATTAGTTGCCGGGAGAATTCCTTAATGTTAGCGAATGTGTTAAAACATGGCAAATTATACATGAACAGATTTGTCTTTTGATGATAAAATTCTGATAAGTGTTTCCCTAGTAAGGTGACCCAAATATTTCTGTGGAATGTACTCCTTTCATAAATCGACATCTGCATCACATATAAACAACAAATGATATTCGTCCTCGATAAATGTTTGGCCAGTGGACGCCAAAGTGTATGTAGAACAAAGATGGTTGAGATAGGGAAACATGTGAGCCATTGGTCAGTACTTGTCAGCAGGCGAGACGAACACCCCCTCGCATCCCTGATACAGAGTCCAGGGTCCCGTTTCACAAATCTCTCGTAAGCGTAAGATCTCGTAACTTTTCTTGTAGCGTTCGTACTTCCTATACTGTAACATTGACTTACGATAGTTGTAGCGCTACGAGAACTTTGTGAAACGGGGCCCAGGACCCCGATCCACAGAGCATTCATTCGTAAGCCAGTGATAAGCTATAGAGTTACGACAGGTCGTAATGTTACGAACGCTTTGTGGATCGGAGCCCCGTTGATCTCCTTCAACGGAGTCTGAAAGAGACGTAGGAACGGGTACACATTATATTTTCAGAACCGATCTCAAAGACCTTTCAATATGCGGCCATCAAAGTTTGCACAGATATCAGTTTAGTCATGAACTGATCCTATTTGAAATTTTCGGTTTCCATGACAACAAATTCCAGTCAATGAATTCCTTGTATTTTCCTAGTTGACTTTTAGTGTATACAGTGGAACTTTTCTGATGCCTGATGATTAATAGCTTCATCAAGTTTCATATTGCAAAGGTTATGTTTTTACATGTTCAAATACTGAATCCATCTGAATCTTTCGTCAGCAGGATCAGATTTAACCAAAGATGTTACTCCTCTATCATCTGCCATGCAGTAATCCTCACACATCGCAATATCATATTCCTGAATACATATGAATATGAATAACGTCAATATTCATTTGAAACTTAATTTTTCACATTTATGTATACAAATAAACGAAACTAAGGTCCTTTCTTCGCAAATACATACGATAACGTTTTGATGTCTTCTTTTTCAGTTCGCCATCTTGCCACGGCGTGTGGACGGTTTGGATGCATTGTCGGCAGGAAAACACTTCAACCAATCAACTTTGGTATTAAAAGGCTTCCAGATTGTCACGTGATCAATGCAATTTTCTAATGCCATGGAGTGTGCTGCAAATGACGTCACAGCTTCCAGGCAGGGGAGTGGGGTGGTTACCATGGCGACCCTTGGCCACGCCATTAACGTTTATGCAATTTCTAAAATGTACAGTGGACATTTTCTACATTGGTTTTTGCCGGTTTTAATATGACTGTGATCTTAGTAAGCTTATGCGTTACTTTTAAACTCGCTTAGTATCCACAAGCACTCAGCAATCCAACACTTTTAAGGCCATCTTCGTGTGAGATCCATATTGTGAATGACCTTTTTACTGCGTCACAAGACTCTTCGCATCGACGTGCTGGGGAAACAGAGTGATCTCGTCAGCTTAGGGCGCCAGTGCGCAGGGACGCATACGTGACAAGCACTGTTCGGAGCACGCTTATGACCCACTGCAACAATCGTGTAACCCCGGAAGTTAATAGGGGTTACCTCCCGTTGTTGCTATTCACTCTGGTGTAAATTCAAGTGATGGAGCGAGTTCACAGTCCGTTATGTTTTCTGTCAAGATTCTTGCCACGCTCAATTCGTTACCAGTGCAAGAGTTCCCCTTCGGTTGTTCCTCCGATCGGGAGACATCTTTCCTTAACCTATGTTTAAGCCGTTCAAAGTGTTTTGCACACTGGGATCTCGTGAGATCTCGTTTGAACGAGATTACGATTTTGTTGCTTGTCCCTGTGTGCAGAGGATGGTGTTTGAAGATAAGTCGCTGCTTTGGATCTCATCTACATAGCCGTTGTGTTGGACAACCACTGTGACCCAATATTACCTCAAAACTTTAACTACACAGCAATTTAGCGAGTGAGTGAGTGAGTGAATAAAATACAGTCCATATCGAGGGTGACGCCAAAAAATTTGCTAAACACCTTTGGTTGATAAAATCCGAAGTATGGGTATTGGGTGGACACTTTCGCCCTAGGCTCCACCTCTTACACCAACTAAAATATATCTAATGCTAAATGGTTTTATCTACTTGTGGACATTTTGGCAAATATATATAACTTAAGATCAAAGGAGGTTGGAGCTTATCTAGTATCTGGGGAGTTTGGTAGTCCAGTGGACTAAGAATTACATCCCCTGCTAGTGCTAGGATCCACTGATCGTGAATGAAATTCAATGTTTACCCTCATACTCGTACGTTTTATATCAAGCTTTATATGGCTTGCGTTGATAAAATTAACTGTTGTTCAAAACTGTGAAATTAAACTCTAAACGGTCCAGCATCATAACCAAGGAGCCCAGAAGCTGATCTGTTCGCCCTACTCACCTGCAACTGTAAATGTAGAAGTCTCCGACTGTAAATACTGCTGAAAGCAGTCTCAAATCTTCCTCACTCACTCGCTATCTAGTTACGCGTGTACGAGTTCCAAACCTCTGATAAGGTGAGCTACATGCCTCAGTTGTTACTTATTATCACAAGGAGAAGACTACACTGTTTCCATTTTGTTAGGAAGCAAACTGCTCATCTAAGATTACATACATGTGCCTATGTTGCTAACTACACCAACATTGCTGTAGCTATTGACAGCTAAGTCCGATGAAAATCAGGCAATTGCCATGGCAACCATTCTCATTAAAATCATATCCTAGATCTCGCCACCGCTAAATAAAGCTGTATTTACCTGTAGCGAGACCTAAGATCTGATTGTAAGGAGATTACAAGAAAACCTGTAGGGTAACAGAAATTGGGATTCCATCTGTCTCTCCTGCCTTTGTGCGTTGTTTTTTCCTTTGATTATTACCTAGGAATTGACCCAAACAGCGAGTCTCATTTGAGTATTTGCGATTCGTTGGCTTAACACCATCGCAGTGAAATCGAAATGAAACATTGACTTTCTTACCGCCGTCACTACTTCCGGTTGTACAGGATATGCTCAAAGTCTACCAGTTGACTGGTTTTGTGCTGTACCAACAATCCGCAAAATTTTGCCGGTGCGTTTACGAGTGAAAAAACGCTTCTTTTACATACATTTCGAAACGATGTTTGAAACTGAATTAACTAAAACTAACAATAATAATCGTTGTCTACTTTTCGGTTAGTATTCATCAGCTAGAACACCGGATATCTTGGTTTTAGATACACACAGGGGAATACTGAGACGAATTTTACATTCTTGTGCTATATCTCTTCATTCTGGCAAAGTCCGGACTATAAATGATATATTGGTAGTCGCTTGATCAATGACTTGCTGTCGATAGCTATAGGTAGGAGAAAAACACGATATATATTGAAGTATTTTATGAGTTTAGCGTAGGAGTCCTAAATATGGATAGTTCAACATCTTGTTAGTAAGTTCTGTGATGTGCATCTGTAGGTCATTGGTCATTCCCGTCATCGCCTGGCTCATGTTGTACTTGCGAATGACATCTTTATACGGTACGTCATTAAGGTTCAATGCAAATTATACAGGTTGCTATGGCAGTGAGACACAACAACAACATACCCTTGAATCATCGACCATGTTTTTAATTGAAGTATTGTTACTTGCTGGCTATAGTTATATACCATATTTACATAAAGTATGGATTAATCACCTTATACCATTTTCCATATTCCCTGGAGTAAATGAATCGATATATCGATTAAACCTTGTGGTTTGAAAATGGACATTTACAATTAGATTATAGAACGTAAGAGTCGTTTATTATTTCTTCTAACGTGGCTTTTAACATGCGAGGGACCAGTCATTAATAAAAAAGGTTGGCTGAAGATATGTTACTAATAACATACAAAAATATACCGCTCCCACTTTTCTTGGATTTCAACAATTGTACGCGTAATTCCCAAAATGATTTAAAGAAACATGTTTTTTCTATTAGCATCGATGTACATTGTGATGTTTCAATTACCTTATGTGAATCTATCTAGCTGAGGCATGAATTGCTTTTCATTCTAAGACGGGCGTGGAGTTATTTTATAGGGAAAGCTAAAGACCAGATAAATGTGTTTCAAAACACATACGCCCACAAACATACACATGAAACACAACTGTGGGTCAACAAGCGCCCCCTAGCTCAATGACTGGCCCCTGACCTATTTTCCCTGCTTGTCCAAAAGAATAATTTCCAGCAAGGTGGAGGTGAAGATGGCGCCCCCTGGACAGGAGACACTCCAGCAACAGAGTACAACTGTACCCAACCACAGTCCACCAAATGTACCCAGCACCAAATGAACCTTTTTTATTCCTATTTCAGTTTTACTGCTATTTTCACAGTATTATGTAAATGTTACTTCCCATAGTAAGATGATAATGTGTTTGTTTCGCGACAGTACGTATTAGCCAATCAGCAAACGCATCCAGTCTGTATGCACCAATGAACAGCTCGGTCTTAGCATAGCCCCCGCGTCGTTACTAAGCAACGAAAGGTCGTTATTGTGACCTCTGCAGAAAGATACCGTGTTAAAAGGGTGTTGTGGTCCTGTATGTTATAGATTTGCTATTATTGTGTCCGTTTGAATCAGGTTGTATATTTGCATTATAAATCTCGAACATAATTTGATTATTGTAACTCAAAGGTCATTCTAGATCTGATCTTACCATTCCACAGCGAGCGCGCCGTAACGTGCTCGCCTGTGATTGGCAGAAGCTAGTCACGTGCGCCTCTCGTTTCGTGCTGACGATTTCTATAACAAGTTTTGTAATCTGCCCGTTGCGAGTTGAACTACCATTTTTGGAGTGTTTTACTACTAGTCTGTTGTGCAATGCACGACAGGTATTATCAACACATTGAGATGAACGGTATAGACGTGTTTGCATTGCACGTGATCAACTTATTTATTTCATTTAGCGTTAGCAGTTACCCCAGCTGGGTTAAGGTCGCCCCTGTGACGCTATTAAAGTTATGCTAGCCCGTACAGGTTGAAGGTCGTGGGTTGGAGACTAGTCTAGGGCACTAGTCACGCAGGCAGATAACACACGTGATTGCTCAGACGTGACTTGTTGGTCAGTAGACTTGTTGGTCAAGGGAAGGTCAAATAGCGGTCAGTTCTAGTGGATTATTGTTGTTATTTCAAAGGAGTGTATGAGTTTTAGTTTTACGCCGCTTTTAGCAATATTCCAGCAATATCACGGCGGGGACACCATAAATGGGCTTCACACATTTTACCCATGTGGGGAATCGAACCCGGGTCTTCGGCGTGACGAGCGAACGCTTTAACCACAAGGCTACCCCACCGCCCTATTTCAAAGGAGCTATAAGGTCCATTTTATGACCGGACTTGAATCATATGACTTCTTAATAATCGAATTTTACTAGACGCAGAGATTTTGTGAAGAATTGTCTCTTATACAGTTCACTTGGAGTAAGAAAGAATAGTTTTGCGCCACTTTAAGCAATAATCCAGCCATGTCACGGCGATGCAACCCAAAAAGGCTACAAACATTTTGGAAATCCACCGAAGGTTCGCTGAGATGAACTGACACTTTTTCCATTATGCCTTGTCCCCTTTACGGAAAGAATTCCACCACAGGTCTCAATCATTGTCTCAATCATTGACTGACTCTGTGTTGTACCAAGATTAAATGTAGAAATGTTGGAGGGATGACTGACTAATTCTCCTTGGTTTCAGACGTCTGTCCTTATGATGGGATGTAGGAAGTCCATAGACAGCAACTATCCGCTAAAGTTTTGTACCGTTAATTTTCTTATGTATTTAAATGTATATTCAGAACTTGGGATTACGGTAGAACCCATTTCATCTGCAGGTTCAAATTCGGTTAGACGTGTTTTACATTCGTCGTATTTTTTTTAATTGAGAAGCAAATAAAAGTAAGTTCCTCAACATTACAACACCTTATTAGTGGTATCATGTTAGTAGGAGCAATTATTTGACAGACAATATTTGGAAAGTGATATGTCCCGTATTTAGGTGATCTTGATAAGGTAAGACCTCTCTGGAGAGAGCGGGGTTGATGTCAGATATCGCAGTTTCAGATGACGGTGAGATCAGATATCTCAGGTTGGTATAGCGTTGAGGCTGGATATCTCAGGTTGGAATAGTGTTGAGTCTAGATCTCTCAGGTGGATGCAGCGTTGAGTCTAGATCTCTCGGGTTGATGCAGCGTTGAGTTTAGATCTCTCGGGTTGATGCAGCTATAGATCTCAGGTTGGAATAGTGTTGAGTCTAGATCTCTCAGGTGGATGCAGCGTTGAGTCTAGATCTCTCGGGTTGATGCAGCGTTGAGTCTAGATCTCTAGGGATAATGCAGCGTTGAGTCTAGATCTCTCGGGTTGATGCAGCGTTGAGGCTAGATCTTTCAGGTTGGAATAGCGGTAAGGTTAAATCGCATGGGTTGATGCAGCGTTGAGTCTAGATCTCTAGGGATAATGCAGCGTTGAGTCTAGATCTCTCGGGTTGAGGCTTGATCTCTCGGGTTGATGCAGCGTTGAGGCTAGATCTTTCAGGTTGGAACAGCGTTGAGGCTAGATCTCTCGGGTGGATGCAGCGTTGAGGCTAGATCTTTCAGGTTGGAATAGCGGTAAGATTAAATCTCATGGGTTGATGCACCGTTAAGGCTAGTTCTCTAGGGGTAATGCAGCGTCGAGGCTTGATCTCTTGGGGTGATGCAGCGTTGAGGCTAAACCTGCCACTTTGGAATAGCTATGAGACTAGATCTCTCGGGTGGGTACTGCGTCGACAACATGTGTCAGGGGTGGTTCAGATATAGGGTTTGATCGCTGGATGATGCGACGATGTGACTAGATCTCTCAGGTTCGAAGAACGGCAAGGCTACAAATCGGGTTGGTAGAGCGGAAAGGCTAGATCTTTCGGAGAGGTGATAAGTTCCGATATCTCTAGATGATTCAGCGTTGAGGCGGGGATCTCCCAGGTTGGTTCAATTTTCAGGATAGATCTCGACGAATGGTATAGCGGTTGGGCTAGATCTATCGGGAAGATGCATCGGTGAAGCTGGATCTCTAACGATGACGATTAACTAGATCTCAAATTGTGTGATGGACGAAAAACGTCTTCAATGACCCAAGAATAAATTTATATGGGGAAAGTAGAACGACCAACATGACAAAAAATCTACATCCTATGAAATGAGAGTAGGTCTTCGTTCCATTGACCGAAATGTTGCAATCCGTGTGTTAGACAATGCAAACCCTACAAAGCCTCGGCTTTCGGGCTAGCTCAATCAGTGCTGGGGGTACATCGGCGAGTAAGCTAGGCGTTTCAATTATTGTTGAATTGTAATAAAAATGTTTGTTACTCTTAATACTTTCTTGTTTTCATTCATGTTGTTGTTTTATTTCAAATTCGCATCGCACAATTTTACACACCTCACTCAGCAATATTCCAGCTATATCAAGGTGATTTGTCCACTCGTGGCCCGGCAAACCAGTTGCATGAGCGACGGTCCACGCCGGGTGCCATGATAGAGGATGCCATATGTTACTTAATGCATTTGACGAATACAGTGGATTAGTGTTTCTCACTTACACACATCTACTGTTTTCTGGTCTACTATAGGGTCACTTGACACACCTACTGTTTTCTGGTCACTTGACACACCTACTGTTTTCTGGTCTACTATAGGGGTCACACAGGGGTCACTTGACACTCTACTGTTTTCTGGTCTACTATAGAGGTCACTTGACACTTCTACTGTTTTCTGGTCTATTATAGGGTCACTTGACACACCTACTGTTTTCTGGTCTATTATAGGGGTCACTTGACACACCTACTGTTTTCTGGTCTATTATAGGGGTCACTTGACACACCTACTGTTTTCTGGTCTATTATAGAGGTCACTTGACACATCTACTGTTTTCTGGTCTACTATAGGGGTCACTTGACACACCTACTGTTTTCTGGTCTATTATAGGGTCACTTGACACACCTACTGTTTTCTGGTCTATTATAGAGGTCACTTGACACACCTGTTTTCTGTCTATTATAGAGGTTCTACTGTCTGGTCTATAGGGGTCACTTGACACCTACTGTTTTCTGGTCTACTATAGAGGTCACTTGACACATCTACTGTTTTCTGGTCTATAGGTCACTTGACACATCTACTGTTTTCTGGTCTATTATAGGGTCACTTGACACATCTACTGTTTTCTGGTCTATTATAGAGAGGTCACTTGGTCACTTGACACACCTACTGTTTTCTGGTCTATTATAGAGGTCACTTGACACACCTACTGTTTTCTGGTCTATTATAGAGGTCACTTGACACACCTACTGTTTTTTCTGGTCTATTATAGAGGTCACTTGACACACCTACTGTTTTCTGGTCTATAGGGGTACTAGGGGTCACTATGAGGTCACTTGACACCTACTGTTTTCTGGTCTATTATAGGGGTCACTTGACACACCTACTGTTTTCTGGTCTACTATAGAGGTCACTTGACACACCTACTGTTTTCTGGTCTATTATAGAGGTCACTTGACACACCTACTGTTTTTTCTGGTCTATTATAGAGGGTCACTTGACACACTGACACACCTACTGTTTTCTGGTCTACTGACACACCTACTG